AATAAGTTGTTGCTTAAATTTTGTTTTACTTTGTTTTTTGGTATTCTTTTAAAGAACGTTGGGCTTTGTTCTGACAGGTATTTATATTATTTGTATCTTTTTTTTTTCTTGGAGCCTTTTTTAAATCTTTGATATGATAGTTTTAGAGTCTCCTTTCTTTAGGGCTGATAGGCATACATATTTGCAGCTCTGTGTATACTTCAGGAATTGTTCATCCTGCTGCTTTCCCTGTCCTTGGGTAATTTTTTTTTATCCCGTGTGTATGGATAAATAGTCAAAGACATGAGTGAATCCCTCTGAAATTTGGCCTAGCAGTCTCTCTTTCTAAACAGTTTCCCCTGCCCTCCTTCTCTGCTTCCAAATCCAGCCACCTTGGATTGTTCAAATTCTGATCTCTGTCTCATCAGCTCAGCAGGATCTTCATTCTTTGTTTGGGTTCTTCCTTCCTGCTGTGCCTTAAACTGTCTCCACACAGTAAGCTAGGGCATCAAGGGGTTTATGTCGTTTGTTTCGTTTTGTCTCAGTTCTGGCTGCCTGTTGTCCAACTGTTCTTTTACATGTGTCTTCTTGCTTTCCAGTTGTTTAAGGAAAGTGAAAATAATTCTGTTCCTGTTAATTCTATTTTGGCCAGAAGTAGAATTCCAATAGTGTTTTAAATACTCATTTATTTAATACAGTTTTTAAAAATAAAGATGCCAAATGGTACTTTCTTTATTGTGGTGAAATAGACATAATATAAAACTTACCATTTTAACTGTTGTTAAATATGTGGTTCAGTAGCATAAAGTACATTTACATTGTTATGCAGTCATCACCACCGTCCATCTCCTGAACTCTGCACCTTGCAAAACTGAAACCCTATACCCATTAAACAATAACTCCCTATTCCCCTCTCTGCCCAGCCCTTAGCAACTACCATTCTACTTTCCGTCTCTATAAGTTTGATGACTCTAGGAATCTCAGAAATGTGCAGTCATGTAATATTTGTCCTTCTCTGTCAGCTTATTTCACTTTGCATAATATCTTCAAGGTACATCAGTTTTAGGTAAGAATGTCTTTCTTTATTAAGGAAATATTTACTACAAAGAATTGACTCTCACAATTATGGAGGCTGAGAAGACCCAAGTTCTGTAATCAGCAAGCTGGAGACCCAGGAGAGCTGACAGTAAAGTTCAAGTCAGGAGAGCTGATGGTGTGAGTTCCAGTCTAAATCTGAAGGCAGAAGACTGATTTCCCAGCTTGAAGATAGGCAGAGAGAGTGAATTCTCCTTTACTCAGCGTTGTTGCTCTATATACGCTTTCATCTGGTTGGATGAGGCCCATTCAAATTGGGGAGGGAATCTGCTTTACTAAGTCTACCCATTCAAATGTTAATCCTATCCAGAAACATCCTCACAGTCACACCCAGAATAATATTTAATGAAATATCTGGTTATCTTATTTCCCAGTCTCACATAAAATTAGCCGTCATACCATTCACCCATCTATGTACACTTGGAGTGCTTCTACCTTTTGACTATTGTGAATAATGCTCCTATGAACATTAACGTACAAGTATATCTGTTTGAGTTCTTGCTTCCTTTTGGGTATGAAATGGTATTTTTATACAGTTGTTTTATATGCTTAGTTGAGGTTTAGAATTCTAGTTGCTGGATCACTTTAACCACTAGAGCCATGCTTTAAAAAGAGTCATGTCATATCTGATGCATACTTAGGTTATATGGATTCAAATCTATTGTATTTTATAGGTTATTGAAGGGATTTTCAACGGAAATATTTCATTATACTCGATTTTTGCATAATCTGCCTTTGGAACCCAGTCTCAGGGTAAAATGCAGCTTTACAGTATTGCTTTTCTTTTACAAAGCAGAAAAATAATTTCTGAAAGTTCCTTTCTATATGTCTTCTCAATGCTAATGAAATAAAAAATCTATATCCAATTCTCTAGTTGACAGGAAAAATTTGAGGAACATCTTTTTATTTAATTGTTCATTTTATCATTCAAAGGAACATTTTGAGCAAAGCCAAAGCACATTTTTGTATTCATAACTGTTTATATAATCAGAGAAAAGGGGGGCTAGAATATTATAAGGTTGATATAGCATATAGAATCAGTGTGGTGATTTTCAAAGAGTGCTGGGTTTGGCTTTGAGAGATACGTTTATTTTATTAATCCCATCTACTACTAAGCTGTGATTTTGGACAAGCCATTTTACCTGAGTTCATTTTCTTGTCTGAAAGACAGTGAAGATGATAATACTTGTTACTGTTTCATAGGATTGTGATGATCAAATGAAGTAATGTATATGAAAGTGCTTTGAAATCTTTAAAGTGATATATAGATGTAAGGCTGCATTTATGGTCTAAGCTAATAGATATAGAAAAGAGCTATTAGAAGCAAAATCTGCTTATGTATGAACAGTTTCTATTCTGATTAAAAGGTTTGCAAGTTTTGAATTGTAGATGACTGCAAAGTCAAGGAATCTGATTTTGCCCCAGAGCCTCAATTCATTGGAAGAAGAAAAGTGAGAACGTTCTAGTCACTGCAAGTCAATTTTTGATATTAAAACCCTTCTGTCTTTATTTTGAAAAGATTTGCAAGGTGGCAAGAACTTTACTAGTGAATGAAGAATTGTCAGCATATATCCCTTTTTAAGCCCAGTATATGCAACATTTTTGTCTTACTAGAGTTTACAAACTTTTTTATATTGAGGATAGTGTATTTTTATGTGAGTTGAATTTGATATGAGTTTGAAGAGTGCTAAACAGTGATTCTTTTAATGAAAGATTCGATGGCTTGTTTTTGTGTTCTACAGAGAGAGGCTAGTGACTGGAGGTAGAGTATTTTGATGATGTTGTATACAGAAGGATTTGTTATATTTCTGTGAGAGACAGAAATAAAGTGTTATTTCTGAGATGCTTCCTTTGTAGGAAAGGGACTGGTTTGCCTCACAACATATTCTAAGAGCAGTTGTCTTCAGGAACTTGAGTTAGAATGAAGAGGCTGAAAACCTAACCTTTATTTATTGATTAGACAAAAATAATTCCACATCTGTTTGGAAATGAGTAAATTTGAAGTTTTAAATTTTTTTGTGTGATTTTATAAATGACTCTTTGATGACAGATAGTGAGAACTTTTGCCTCATCCTACAATATGAGCCTAAAAGATATTAAATACTTGTTGACAGACTGATTCTAGGGCTGGTGCAGGAAAGATACAAGATGAGGCTGGAGCATCTTTTAGTAGTAGAAAGTAAGGAAGTGCATGAAATCAAAATGGTAAGAGCATGTCAAAGGGACACAGGAGACATCTGAAAGAGCTTACAATAGTCATGGCTGGAACAATTTGAGGAGCAAAATGAATGATGTAGTATTGGATTATAACCTAAAGTACACAATAAGTGTCCACAAGTCCATACTGATATAAATAAGTGATTGAATAAATATGTAAATGGATGAAGAGAGATGAATCTTCCATACAGAATAATTCCAATAATATATTTAGATGTTCTTTGCTATGGGAGGTAGAGAATAATTCCTCCTCTTTTTCCCTGAGGGTGGGCCAGACATAGTCAGCTTGAAAGAATACGTTATGAAGAGGGAAAAACAGTAATGTTATAGTGGAGAGGCCTGGCATATTATATAGTACCTTAACCAAGTAATGAAGGTTAACATCATTGGTGATGTCCTGTTGATATCATGTTCCCCTTGCCATGATCTATTGAGAATGGCAGTTGATCTCAGTGATATTCTTTCCAGAAATCATAACCCTAGTCTAATCATAAGCAGAAACATTAGACAAACCCAAATTGAGGGTCATTCTATAAAATACCTGACACATAGTCCTCAAAATCAAGATCATGGAAAAGAAGGGAAGATTGAGAATTGTCACAGACCACAGAGACTGGGGAGAGATAATAATTATATGTAATGTGGTGTCCTGAATGGAATCCTGGAAAAGAAAATGAACATTAATGGAACAACTTGTGAAATGTGAATAATGCCTGGGCTTTAGTTTGTAGTAATGTACCAATATTGGTTTCTTCATTTTGACAAATGTGCCATGATGTTATAAAATGTTACTAATAGGGGAAAGTGAGTAAAGGGTATAATACACTCTTCGTACTGTCTTTTAACTTTTCCATCAATCTAAAATTACTCCAAAATGGCCACGCATGGTGGCTAAGCCTGTAATCCCAGCACTTTGGGAGGCTGAGGTGGGCAGATCACTTGAGTCCGGGAGTTTGAGACCAGCCTGGGCAACATGGTGAAACCCCATCTCTGTGAAAAATACAAAGTATAACCCGGAATGGGGGCACCCGCCTGTAGTCCCAGCTACTCGGAAGGCTGAGGTGGGAAGATCACTTGAGCCTGGAAGGCAGAGGTTGCAGAGTGAGCCAAGATTGTGCCACTGCACTCCAGCCTAGGTGACAGGGTGAGACCTCATCTCAAAAAGAAAAAAGGAAAAGAAAAACTCCTTGACAGAGTTTTCTTGCTTGCATGGAATCAAATGATGTGAAGAACAGAAACTATGTGAAATAATTTTTGCTAGTTAGCATGTTTTATTTTAACAGTTTTCCCCCTAAAAATGGAATAATATGCTATAATAATACTATTTACATACGTGTTTCTTCGTAAATGTTTCCGTTATATATAAGATTTGATGACTTTTTAAAAGTCACGTTAATGTCTGAAACTTTTTAAATGAGGTGAATAAGGTACAAATTAATAGCTGTCTATTTTGAAGGGAAGAAGTTAAAGTTTGATATAATGGTGTATAGAATCTAAGTTATAGTTGTTTTGAGAATTATGATTTTGAAAGTGCTTATGTTAATACTGTGCTTGATTATAATATAGTATTTTGGGAATTCAATTTAGTAGCATTATCAGTTAAAGCAACACATAAAAATTAATAGAACAAAGAATACTTTAAATTAAAATATCTTTGTTACAAACTATGAAAATAAATATAAGTAAATTTCATATCATTTCTCTTCTAGATTTATTATCTAGGATAGATTTGGATGAACTAATGAAAAAAGATGAACCTCCTCTTGATTTTCCTGATACCCTGGAGGGATTTGAATATGCTTTTAATGAAAGTAAGTGGTGTATATATATATATATATAGTATATGCAAAATTTATTTAGCAATGCTCATAGAATAATAAGACAGATATTATTTGCTACTTTTAAAGGCCAAGTAGAATGTTTTCTGTATTCTTTTGAGAAATAATGACATCCTGGCATGGTAAAATTCTTCATTCAAGTGAAAGAACCAAGTAACAATTTTCTGTAGTTGTCAAGTTACGTAAACTAATGGTCATGAATTTGATTCAGCTTATGCATTTCAACCTTGAGCTTTCAACTCCCTGGTATCCAATTTGAACTCCTAATTAAATTATAGAGAAAGATGCTACTGTTTCACATGTTATTTAGAACAAAGTGTCTGGCAGTAATTATCTGTGACAATGTTTTAAAGTAGTTTTCCATGATTTCTCAGGCAACATTCTTGTTTTAAAATTTATTAATTCAGTTCTGAATAAAATAACCTTTACACTTGGGATGTGGAGGAACATAGTATAGATTGCAAAGATGTTTCTGGAACAGAGAATCATGATTCATTGGATTAATAATACACCCTTACACTTGAAGGGTAGTGTTATTACAGGGTAGGTGCATTTGAGTTGTAGTTTTCTATTGGTTGTTCTGCATTAACTGAATTGGTGCTTTGTCATCACTGTATTAGTGGATATTCCTTTCTAATATCAGTTATAGATATTAAGAGTTATGGTGACAGTCATTGTGTACTAAGATGTTGAGTTTAAAATAAGAGACTAGAAACTTTGATCTTTTCTCTGATACTAATTTTTATGCTTTTTAATAAAAGTTATTTTATGCCAGTAGAAGTAGTAATGTTTGTTGTGTGGAGGGGAAGAGGAGCTTAAGCAATTGGCCTGTAGTGTATTTCTCTCCTGATTACCCCGGGAATACCCCTGGGGAAAAAATCCTGTTCAGGAGACAAATGGCTTCATGTTTTCTCCTTATAAATGTGCTGATAATTAACTCATTTAATAAATTAGACTGGCTGGGTACAGTGGCTTATGTCTGCAATCCCATCACTTTGGGAGGCAGAGGCGGGTGGATCACTTGCGGTCAGGAGTTCAAGACCAGCCTGGACAATATAGTGAAACCTCATCTCTACTAAAACATACAAAAATTAGCCAGGTGTGGTGGCATATGCCTGTGGTCCCAGCTACTGCTGGCTGAGGCATGAGAATGACTTGAACCTGGGAGGCGGAGGCTGCAGTGAGCTGAGATCGGGCCACTGCACTCCAGCCTGAGTGACAGAGCGAGACTCCACCTAAAAATAAATAAATAAATAAATAAATAAATAAATAAAATAAGCGTAGACTAATATTTGCTCTGAGGAGAGTCCTTTTCTATAGAATACTTTGAGCAAGATGACTGGTTTAGATATGAGGAATGTTTCTCTGAAGAATATCACTTAAGCAGGACAATTCTTTGGCACATAAAATGGAAATATTTTATAACCCAAATGCTCACCAGTGGGTGAGATTACCTGTATGCACACGTAGAGTCCTCATCTACTTTGGGCCAGAGAGTGCTATCCAATGAGAGGAAAGGACCTGGGGGAAATGACCAGATGCTGCAGACCTCTCCCTGCCTTGCCTGTGCTTCTTAATTCCTTGTACCCTTGAAATTATTAGTAAAGCTTAGTCATTATCGGTAAAGATCTTTGCTTTGTGGAGTGTGATTTGATAGCCTGAGCCTGTGTTAGCTCACTGCTTCTCTCCAGTTTTCATTTGACATCCTACCCATATTTGAAGACCTAGTTCAGAAATCTCACTGAAACCTTCTGAACCTCTTCTAGCCCACAGATAGTTTTCATTTTTCCAAAATCATTCTAGACTTTATTGTCTATATGAATCCCCAGTGGCAGATTTTTAGACTGTTGACGTATTCCAATCTAGTTTGTTTAGCTTCCTGAAAAGTTGCTTAACTTCTTAGTATTTATGATTTGACTTCTCAGGTAACCTCTAAGCTTCTTGAGGAATGGGCCTATGTTCATGGCAATAGCTAGAGAGGTCTTTATACATATTAGGCTTTAAAATATTGTTAGTTTGCTTTAGATTAGAGAGATGGAGGTCAAGAAGAATAACTTTTGAGTACTTGGGGACCATTCTTAGTTATATAATCTGTATGTTTGTGTCATATTGACATCTGAAGAAAAAAAATCTAATGAAAAAGATAAACTGTTCTGAGAAAGTTACTTTAAATTTTTATCAGACATTCTTTGTTGTACTGCTTGTATTATTGTAAATATACTTTGAAGTATAGCAATATTGTTTGTTTATCTTCTTAGAGGGACAGTTAAGACACATAAAAACTGGGGAACCATTTGTTTTTAACTACCGGGAAGATTTGCACAGATGGAACCAGAAAAGATACGAGGCTCTAGGAGAGGTATGTCACATATACTACTTTAACTTTGTTTTTCCCAATTTTAAATATTCAGAATAAAAGTTTTAAAGATGCAGCAGTTTATGTACTCTTTTTACAAAATGTGATTCAAAAAAGGTTTTTGGTTTTTTTTTGTTTATTTTTAGTGGTTATGTTAGAAGCATATTCTCAGTTTAAAAGTTTCTGTTCGGTGGCTCACGCCTGTAATGACAGCACTTTGGGAGGCTGAGACGGGTGGATCACGAGGTCAAGAGATCGAGACCAGCCTGGCCAACATGGTGAAACCCCATCTCCACTAAAAATACAAAAATTAGCTGGGTGTGGTTGCGCGTGCCTGTAGTCCTAGTTACTCAGGAGGCTGAGGCAGGAGAATTGCTTGAACCCAGGAGGTGGAGGTTGCAGTGAGCTGAGATGGTGCCATTGCACTCCAGCCTGGGTGACAGAGCAAGACTCCGTCTCAACAAAAAAAGTTTCTGTTTTTAGGCGAGCTGTGGTGGCTCACACCTGTAATCCCAACACTTTGGGAAGTCAAGGCCGGAGAAGCACTTGAAGCCAGGAGTTTGAGACTAGCCTGGGCAATATAGTGAGACCATGTCTCTACAAAAAATAAAAAATTAGCCAAAAGTAGCAGTATGTGCCTATAGTCCTAGTTACTTGGGAGCCTGAGGTGGGAGGATCACTTGAGCCCAGGAAGTCAAGGCTGCAAGGAGCTGTGATCACATCACTGCACTCCAGCCTTGCTGACAGAGTTAGGCCCTATCTCAAAAAAAAGAAAAATCTTCTGTTTTTACACAAACTTATTCTTCCCTTGACTATAATATTTCGTAGTGAGTCATTACATAAGAAAACAAATTTATGTGAAATTCTAATTTGATTTTTTAAGTTTTGTTTTGTTCTTGAGGCATGGTCTTACTCTGTCACTGAGGCTGGAGTGCAGTGGCACGATCTTGGCTTGCTGCAACTTCCGCCTCCCAGGTTCAAGCGATTCTCGTGCCTCAGTCTCTGAGTAGCTGGGACTACAGGTGTGCACCACCGTGCCCACCTAATTTTTTTTTTGTATTTTTAGTAGAGATGGGGTTTCACCATGTTGGCCAGGCTGGTCTTGAACTCCTGACCTCAAGTCATCCGCCTGCCTTGGCCTCCCAAAGTGCTAGGATTGCAGGCGTGAGCCACTGCGCCGAGCCTAAAAATGTTTTTAAGAGGTTGAATCCCCTACTATGCCAGAATGAATAAGTTTTCTTTCAGGTGTTTATTTGTGTGGAGAATATTGGTATTTGACTAATAAGTTGAATTTAACCTACTTATCTTTGACTGGATAAAGGAGTAGGCCTTGTGAACATTAGTAATGTACTTCACATGGTACTGCTTATAGGAACCTTTGAAAATGTCATTTGCCGTTTAGGTGAATAGTATGGTAAAGTGAAAAGCTTTACTCATTCTGTGTCATATTAAGTCTTTATTTTTAGTAAAAATGCATATGGACACATAAGTTTAGTGTGATAACTAGATAGCTACCTTACTTTTCTAAGGAAAGGCTGAAATTTCTGTATTCCTTTTTTGTTTTTAAGTAGAGTAGTAAAAATGAACTATTTGGTTAAATTATGACATAAAGAATATTTGGTAACATAAGTATAATAGCATGAAGAATATATCTTTTCCTGGGAGACAATTCTTTGATCTCCTGCATTTCTGTATGTCTCTGAGCAAAGGCTTTGACAGCTTTTGCTCTGGATCATCTTTTCAAGGACAACTGTATAGGAAACAGGCTTCAAAGACAGAGGTTGTGTCTCCCTCCTAGGCAGTAGGCAGATTAGTTTGCCGTCCAGGATCAAAAGGTAATGCTCCTCCCTCCCCCACTGATGGCAAAGGATTGCTAGGAGCCCCTTTAGAAGATTGGGTTTCCTAAGTTTGAGGTTCCTCAGCTGTGATACAATCCTATTGCATGCTCAGCATCCACCTGGGCCTGTTGACACTGCCTCTTTGGGATTTGAGGAGCAAGAGATTGGACTTCATGAGAACATGAAGCTAATGCTGCCTGCTGTACCCCGATTAATTTTTGTTTCTGATCCAGAAGACTGATGTCATCTGACAGCATCCATGACTATGCAGGCGAACTTGCTAGCTTTTATGGAGTGTAAAATCTGACAGTTAAAGAATCTTCACAGTTCTTGTTAGTGTTCTGCGGCATTTATAATCTAAATGTATTCAATGCCCTGAATAATTTCTGCTGCACTTTTAAAAAAGCTTACCCAGCCAGGCATGGTGGCTCACACCTATAATCCCAGCACTTCGGGAGGCCGAGGAGGGCGGATCACGAGGTCAGGAGTTCAAGACCAGCCTGACCAACATGGTGAAGCCCCGTCTCTTCTAAAATTACAAAAATTAGCCGGGCATGGTAATTTTTGTAGCCCCTGTAATCCCAGCTCCTCAGGAGGCTGAGGCATGAGAATCACTTGAACACAGGAGGCAGAGGTTGCAGTGAGCCAAGATCGTGCCACTGCACTCCAACCTGGGGGACAGAGTGAGACTCTGTCTCAAAAAAAAAAAAACAAAACAAAAAAAAAACAAAGGACTTCCACTTGATTTATATGTTGCAAACTGGTAGTATTTTGATTATAGAATAACCATACTATAATGGCCTTAGAAAAGAGCTTGTGATTTTTGTGTTTGTTTTTAAATGGGACTATTTATTTACTATTTTCCGTAAGCCATGTACACCACCAGCTCACTTGGACAGGTGGCTAGTCTCCAAATATACCTTGTCCTTTTTGGCATCTGCATCATTTATGCCATCAACTTGTATCCTCCAACATCATCTATATCAAACTCCAGCTATGTGTCTTATTAGGTCATTCCATGTGTAAATGATTTCTTTTGTCTAGGATCTTATACCTAATTCTTTGGATATATGAAGGGTCACAGATTTATTTTTGGTGGACTTTAGTTGACAAGAAATCAAAATATTTGAGTTTTTACTCTGATGGTTATTTACAGAGAGAGAGCATATTCTGTATTGTCTACATTACTGCCTCCTGTGCTTGCTATCACATTTGTGTTCACAATCAATTTGGACCCAAGTGATTACCCAAAATTATAACATTTAACTTTTTTTTTTGAGATGGAGTCTCACTCTGTCACCCAGGCACCAGGTGCCTTAGCTTACTCTCGGCTCACCACAACCTCCACTTCCCGGGTTCAAGTGATTCTCCTGCCTCAGCCTCCTGAGTAGCTGGGATTACAGGTGCGCACCACCACGCCTGGCTAATTTCTGTATTTTTAATAGAGATGGGGTTTCACCATGTTAACCAGACTGGTCTCAAACTCCTGACCTCAGGTGATCTGCCCACCCTGGCCTCCTAAAGAGCTGGGATTACAGGCATGAGCCACTGTGCCTGGCCATAGCATTAACTTTTAATGCAGTGTTTCTATTTAGATCAGTGGACTCCTCAGCTTTAAGTACCAACCTTTTTCCTTCTGAATATATTGATCAAAAGTAAACATATTTTCCTAACGTAAAACTCAGTACACAAAAAGACCTAGGAATTGGAGAGTGAAGGTCTGGTTATTACAGTATTTGTACCATACCATCTTGCTTCTCATGTCATGTTTGGAATACTTGTTTTGATTCATAATTTCACTATTGGAAGTTAATTATTAATTGAATTTTATTTCCTACATCGTAGGAGTTAGTTGTATGAGTTCTGGGTATATCCCAGTAATGACACAGTTTTCAATCTAGTTAATCAGTTGTTTGGAATTCATGATAGCAGGACTTACTGCATCTGTGGCCTGTCTTTTCATTCATTTTGTAACCAAAAAGCAGGTTAGTTGCTTGCTGTGTGCAGAATCCCATGAGCAGGAGTGAGGTCTGGTACAAAAAAAAGTGAATTTATCCTAAAACTAGCTTGAGGAAACAGGCACAAACATTCTACCTTTAAATGTACTACTTTACTCTTGGAGCAGAAAGCAGGCACTTTTATGAGTTAGAGGAGGGAACAAGCAAGGGCAGGGAATCCCCTTGCTAGCTGGTTCCTTGTCTACTG